AGCTGGGCATGGTGGCGCGTGCCTGTAATCCCAGCTAATTTTTTGTATTTTTAGTAGAGACGGGGTTTCACCATGTTGACCAGGATGGTCTCGATCTCTTGACCTCGTGATCCACCCGCCTCGGCCTCCCAAAGTGCTGGGATTACAGGCTTGAGCCACCGCGCCCGGCTATGTTTCGTTTTTTATGAAACCATTGGATTGTCTTCCAAAATGACTGTACCATTTTGCAATCCTACCAGCAATGAGAGTTCCTGTCGCTCCACAGCCTCACCAGCATTTGTCAGTGTTTTCGATTTTGGCCATTCTAATAGGTTTATGACAGCTTATTGCTTTAATTTGCAGTTCCCTAATGACATATGATGCGGAACATGTTTTCTTATTTACCATCTATCTTTTTTGGTGAGGATTCCAGATCTTTCACTCGTTTTTTATTATAATCTGGTTGGTTGTTTTCTTACTGTTGAGTTTTGAGAGTTCTGTGGCGTGTCTTCTCACTTCTTGACATTGCCTTTTGCAGAGCAGAAGTTTTTAATTTCAACCAAGTCCAGCCTATCATTGCTTTCTTCATGGATGATGTATTTGGTGTTGTATCTAAAAGGTCATCTCTATAACCAAGGTCATCTAGAGCTTTCTCCTGTGTTAACTATAAGAGTTTTATAGTTTTACATTTTATATTTATATTTAGATTCATTCTGAGTTAATTTTTGTGGAGGGTATAAGGTCTATGTTTAGACTGATTTTTTGCATGTTTGATGTCCAGTTGTTTAGCATCATTGTTGAAAAGGCCATCTTTGCTCCATCATATTGCCTTTGCTCCTCTGTCAAAAATCAATATCTTTATGTGGATCTGTTTCCAGGCTCTTTCTCTATTGTCGTCTTTTGATATCTTTGTCTATTGCCAATAGTACGCTGTTTCAATTACTATAGCTTTATAGTAAGTCTTGAAGTCAGAGTAGTGTCAGTCTTCTACCTTGTTCTTTTCCTTCAATATTGACTTGGATATTCTGAGTCTTTTGCTTCTTCATTTAAACTTTAGAAGTAGTTTGTTGATATCCACAAAATAACTTGTGTTTGATTTTGACTGGGATTGCATTGAATCTATAGATCAAGTTGCATCCAGGCTGTTTTAATTAGAAGTTATAATTCCTAGCCCATGATGTTTTTGAAATTCAGTACGTCTTTTTTTGCTTAACTTGAATTCCATTTTATTACTGCACATTCCTGTGACATGACACACGTCCTTTAGGCTTTCTTACTAAATCAAACTGACAAGCCTCTAGACACCATGCTGAAGACAGACATTTCACCAATCTTACTTTTTCACAATAATGACTCTATTATTTTTGTAAAAATGATACATTCTTATAAAGAACTGAAGACAGTTTGGGTGCTCTTAGGGAAACCTCCACTCAGTGCCAGGTGCAGTGGCTTACATCTATAATCCCAGTGCTTTGGGAGGCCAAGGCGAGAGACCAAGAGTTCAAGAACCACCTGGGCAACATAGTAAGACCCTGTCTGTACAAAAAAAAATTAATTAGCCAGGTGTGGTGGTGCACACCTGCAGTCCCAGCCTCAGCCACATCACTTGAACCCAGGAGGTCAAGACTGCAGTGAGCCATGATTGCAACATTGCACTCCAGCCCAGGCGACAGAGCGAGACCTTGTCTCTCAAAAACAAAATAAAAACTACACAGAGATAACTAACATTAAGTGAACAGTATTCTAGGCGTGTCTCTAAGATATTTCTAGGTAGAAGGCTAAATAGAAATGCTTATATTAAAATGCTATTTTAAAAAGTTCTGAATCTAATTTTATGTGAATCTAACAGGAGAAAAAGAAACTGAAGTAGGTGTTTCTTCCCCACAAAAATTAATAGTTTCTAAAAGAGCTCCCTATTGAATTCCTATTGCTCTACATCTTTGGAAAAAAAAAAAAAGAAAGAAACTTTTCCAAAGTCCTGATTTTTGTAAAAGAAAGAAAGGGAGGGAGGGAACATAGTTATACTCAGATTAGTATATATCTTCATAATCACAGTAAACATTAAATTATAAAAAATAAAAAGAGCTCCCTGAAGTTAATATTATGAGAAACATTAAGAAACTATAATTGTTCTTAATAAGGTTTCTTTTTTTTTTTTTTTTTTTTGAGACAGGGTGTCACTCTTGTTACCCAGGCTGGAGTGCAATGGCGCGATCTCGCCTCACCACAACCTCCGCCTCCTAGGTTCAGGCAATTCTCCTGCCTCAGCCTCCTGAGTAGCTGGGATTACAGGCACGCGCCACCATGCCCAGCTAATTTTTTGTATTTTTAGTAGAGACGGGGTTTCACCATGTTGACCAGGATGGTCTTGATCTCTTGACTTCGTGATCACCCGCCTCGGCCTCCCAAAGTGCTGGGATTACAGGCGTGAGCCACCGCGCCCGGCCAATAAGGTTTCTTAGATGGCATAATTCAAGGCTCTGAAGATGAAGAAATAGCATAATCTTTCTCCTCAATTTGTATTATTCCTATATTGATGTTGTTTTAAAAGTCTATGCATTTCCTTCTGCTCTTAAACCTTAATTCTCACTACAGTTAGTCTTTTTTTTTTTTTTTTTTTTAATAAGGTCTTGCTGTGTTGTTCAGGCCACCTCAAGCAATCCTCCAGTCTTAGTTTCTCAAGTAGCTGGGACTTTATTTTATTTTATTTTTATTTATTTATTTTTGAGGTAGAATCTCACTTTGTTGCCTAGGCTGGCGTGCAGTAGTGCGATCTCAACTCACTGCAACTTCTGCCTCCCAGGTTCGAGCAATTCTCATGCCACAGTCTCCTGAGTAGTTGGGATCACAGGTAAACACCATCACATTTGGCTAATTTTTGTCTTTTTAGTGGAGATGGGGTTTTGCCCTGTTGGCCAGGCTAGTCTCGAACCCCTGAGCTTAGCTGATCTGCCTGCCTCAGCCTCCCGAAGTGCTGGGATTACAGGCGTGAGCTACCACGCCCGGCCTTCATTTTATATTTAAACTGATTCTGTGGCTCACCACCAGTGTTTTTGCCATGACTTCTTCATTTCTGAGTTGTTATTTTTAAACTCTTGATTGATGGCCAGCCATGGTGGCTCATGCCTATAATCCCAGCAGTTTGGGAGGCCTAGGTGGGCAGATCATTTGAGTTCAAGAGTTTGAGACCAACCTGGCCAACATGGTGAAACCCCGTCTCTACAAAAAATACAAAACTGGGCATGGTGGCAGGCACCTGTAATCCCAGCTACTCAGGAGGCTGAGGCAGGAGAATCACTTAAACCCAGGAGGTAGAGGTTGCAGAGAGCTGAGATCACGCCACTGCACTCTAGCCTGGGCAACAGAGCGAGACTCTGTCTCAATAAATAAATAAATAAATAAATAAATAAATAAATAAATAAAAATAAACTCTTGATTGGCTGAATTGAATCATTAAGAATGACTCAAGGATGGCCCATGAATTCTGTATCTTCTGCATTTGGGAATGTTTCTGTGGTCTTATTGCATACACCTTGGCTGAGTAAAATATTCTTGCATCACATTTTCTTTTGGATACATTTCTCCATTGTCATATGACACTGACTGTTCATAGGGACAACACTGAGGCCAGCCGAAGAGTCCCCTCTAAAGAGGATATCTTCTAAACAGATATCCCCTTGCCTTTTTCTTTATTTTCTTCCTTTCTCTTTCTCTTTTTAAATCTATACATCTGAATAATTCTTTCTTGTTCTTTATTGGTTTTTCTGGAACAAAGTGTACTTTTTAGAGTTGCAGTTCTTTTTTTTTTTGAGACCATGTTTCCCTCTTGTTGCCCAGGCTGGAGTACAATGGTGCCATCTTCTGCAACCTCCGCCTCCTGGATTCAAGTGATTCTCCTGTGTCAGCTTCCTGAGTAGCTCAGTTTATAGGCATGCGCCACCATACTCAGCTAATTTTGTATTTTTGGTAGAGACGGGGTTACCATGTTGGCCAGGCTGGTCTGGAACTTCTGTCCTCAGGTGATCCACCCGCCTCAGCCTCCCAAAGTGCTGGGATTACAGGCGTGAGCCACCACGCCTGGCCTAGAGTTGCAATTCTATTCTTCATTCTAGGGAAGATGTGTTGTAATTTCTTTATGAATGCTTTTTCTTTTCCGCGTGTTAGGTTTTCTGTTTTAAATTATATTTCTGTTCTTTTGTTTCATTGTCTTGATCTTTTATACCTTCATAACTATCTCTCTTTTTAATACATGTCTTTTTTCTTTTCATTCACCATGGTTATCTGAGGCCTTTCCTCGATATCAGTTTGATTCTTAGCCATATCTGTTCATTTTCATGTTATTTCTCATGTATGACTTTTGTAGAAGTGCCCTTAGTTTCCTTCCTTGTTATTTCATCTGTTTCAGCTTTGAGTGCTTCCTTTCTTGAATTCATGTTGTTATTACATTTTTCTGTAGCTCAGACTACTACTGGGAATATTTTTTTCCTGTTTCCTTGGATTACATTTTCTTCTGGACTTGGCTCTCATCAATCACGTGCATGTTCCTTTCAGTGTTTTCCTTTCATATGTTTGTGTATCTGCCATGTTAATTTCTTACATGTCTCGTGCTTCATGCAGCAGCTCTGGCCAGACATTGTGTTTGCTTCTGTAAAATATGGGTACATTCTCAATTCCAAAAGTGTCTGTATCCACTGCTTAGATTTAACAAATGTTAACATTCCCTTTACTGTATTTTCGAAGTATTGCTTTATGCAACCCATTTAGTACTTGCCACGAAACACCCCCATCTTTACTCTTTTGTAACTGAGGTGTCTCCTCACCAGGTAAACAACTGAAACTCTACAGCTAGTGCTCGACTTACGACCACGATTGGTTCGGACAGGCCGGTCGTAACACAATTTGGTCGTAAGTTGAGTAGGCTATATGCACGCGGAGATGGTAGTGCTGCTGGAAGCTGGTCCGCACTGTCGTATGTCCAGCTGGGCAACGTTGGCGCTGCCAGACGCGGAGCAGTCGTGGCTAGCGATTGTGGTCATAAAGTCGAATGGTCATAAGTTGCATAGGTCGTAAGTCGATCAATACCTGTACTTATCTTCCTGACCTCCAGTTGACTCTCCCCTTCTTCACTCTGTCCTAATCAGGAGCTAAGATTTTCTTAACTGCCTACCATTTTCTATCTTCATTTGTTTTAAAAAAAAAAAAATCCTTATTTTTCACCCCCACTAAGGAAATTACTGAAAACCAAGTTAGCAAAAACCTAGCAAATAGGCTGGGTGCAGTGGCTCACTCCTGTAATCCCAACAGTTTGGGAGGCTGAGACGGGCAGATCACCTGAGGTCAGGAGTTCAAGACCACCCTGATCAACATGGAGAAACCCCATCTCTACTAAAAATACAAAATTAGCTTGGCATGGTGGTGCAGGTCTGTAATACCAGCTACTCGGGAGGGTGAGGCAGGAGAACTGCTTGAACCCAGGAGGCAGAGGTTGCAGTAGGCTGAGATCGCACCATTGCACTCCAGCCTGGGCAACAAGAGCAAAACTCCACCTGAAAAAACAAATAAACAAAATCCTAGCAAATGTAAGAAACACAGCACTAATCCAAAAACCAGCTCAATAACCCCTTCCTTTTCAGCCACTCAGGCACATACCCAGACACAAGGCCACTTGCCCATCAGGAGCCCACCCACCAAAGTGGAGGGCTGGGAACTTGGGGACCAGAGGCCTCAGTACAAATCCCAGCTCTGGCTTACCAGGAGAGTGACTTTGGAGGCTTCTGCCAGTCCTTCTGCTCCTTGGTTTCCTCATCCCTAAGCCAATGCAGCAAATAAATGCCATCTTCAAGGGGTCAGTACAAAGATACCGAGACGGTGTGTGTGAAGTGCCCAGCTGTGTCCCAGCACAGAGCAGGTACTTCCCTCTTGTCATCAGCCTGCCTCCCCTCCTCTGATGACAGCCCTCCTCCAAGCCACCAATGGCAGAGTTAGACTAGACCCAGAAGATTCTTTGGTCACCCCCTCCTTCCTTATGAATAGGGAGGAAGCTGAGGCGCATAACTGGTAGCTCAATGAGAAGTAGAACTCACTCAGTTCTCTTTGGTATGTGGAAACATCGTCCGTGTCTGCTGCCTGCCCCTGTCATAATTCTCTCCTTGCCCTATTCCATCATGAACCCTCTGTATAAATCACCCAGAGGATATCCAGTCTCCCCACAGCCCCAAGCTTAACCCTTATCCTCTTTGTGGACGACTCCCAGCATTAAATGCTTTTCTTCACCTCTCTGGCCTAGGCGTGAGGGATGAGGACAAAGCTCATTCGTTCAGTTTAATCCATGCCTAGTTCCTTCTAGGGGCTGGGCCTGAGGTGCTCTTTGGAGCTGCTCTGCTTCCCTTCTGCCCTCTGGTTCCCTTAGGCAGCTCACAGGAGTGGTGGTAGCCCCATTCTCCCTTCATCAACACAGATCCCTTCCTGGCTGAGGACAAAACTGAGGCTGTGCAGCCCTGACTGCATGCTCAGGAGGCCTCGGAGAGAACTGTCCTTGTCCAGAAGATACCGCTCAGCTCCCAGCCACCCCGCCTCTGCGCCTGCCAGTCTCCAGGCGTCCCAAGTCCAGAGCAGGGCGAAGCATCATGGGCTGCATGTGTTGGGCTTTTGTCCAGATGCCCAATTTTGGCCAGAAAGGAAGATGATTCTGGCCCCCAAATGTTTTTATAATCTTGTTCAGACACAGGGGCAAGTGTAAGGTGCCATTGTAAGAGCTATACATCGGGAAGTAAGATGCTCTCTAAGAATTAAACCATAAAACAATACAAAATGAATCAGAACAGCGATATAGAAAGTCACCTTAAGATATGCTTTCCACATTCGAGTCATCAGAATGGGGCTACAGCACAGAGGATGTTAAAGACGGTGCCCATCAGAAGAGGTGGATGGTGGCCACCAGTGGAAGCCCAGAGAGGGGAAACCTCATGGGCAGAGACTGGCAGTGACCATCTGATTGGGAGACAGTGTCCTGGCCCTGGCCAGGCCTTCTTTTTTTTTTTTTTTTTTTTTTTTTTTTAGACAGAGTTTTGCTCTGTCGCCAAGGCTGGAGTGCAGTGGTGTGATCTCGGCTGACTGCAACCTCCGCCTCCCAGGTTCAAGCAATTCTCCTGCCTCAGCCTCCCAAGTAGCTGTGATTATAGGCATGCGCCACCATGCCCAGCTAATTTTGTATTTTTGGTAGAGACGGGGTTTCTCTGTGTTGGTCAGGCTGGTCTCAAACTCCTAACCTCAGGTGATCTGCTCACCTTGGCCTCCCAAAGTGCGGGGATTATAGGCATGAGCCACTGCACCCAGCTGGCCAGGCCTACTCTTGTTGCATGGATGGTGCCACAGGTGGTGATGCCTGACTGCAGTCAACAAGCCTCAGATTCTGTAGCAAGCGAACTTTCCTCTGCCTTCCCGCTCACCAGGCAACCTTCTAAGAAGTTGGTATCTTGTCTGTTTGAGCTGCTATAACAAAGTACCATCAACTGGGTAGCTTAGAAACAACAGAAATTCATTTCTCACAGTTCTGGAGGCCAGAGATCCAGGCACAAATACCAGTAGATGGTGAGGACCCATGTTCTGGTTCATAGATAGCAGTCTCCTCACTGTGTCCTCACATGGCAGAAGGGGAGGGGCAGCTCTCTGGGGTCTCTTTTATAAGGTCACAAATCCCATTTATGGGGGCTCTGCCCTCATGACCTAATCACCTCCCAGGGGCCCCTCCTCTTCATATCATCTCCTTGGAGCTGAGGTTTCAACATGTGAATTCTGGAGGGACATAAACATTCAGACTAGAGCAGTTGGCTTCCCACATAGTGTGCCTCTGGGAGAGAAGTATAATCTGCACCCCAGCATTCCTGTGGATGGAGTCAGTCTCTTGCATGGTGATGACAGCATCACACACCTCCAGGCTCTCAGCAGTGATCCTGTGATGCAAGGGTCAGTCCTGCACTGGGGTTGAGCTTCCCACTTCCAGGCCCCTTTTTCAGGCCTTTTGGAAACCAGCCACCTCCAGCCCCTCACTCCTGTTGAGCCCCAGCCATAATCCCAATCCTATTCTTCCTCTGGATTCCAAAGCTTCGTCCGTATTGAGCTGCAGGGGGAATGCAGAGGGCTGGAAACGGGCAGACTGGAGTTGCCAGCCAAGGCTGGGCTGTGAGCTCCATGGAGCAGATGCTGTGGCCATCCTTCCCCTGCTCTAGGCCCAGCTCCAGGCCAGGGCCAGCACTTGGTAGGCTCCTCATGAGCGCTTCCTGAATGAATGTTGCAGAATGAAAATCTACCCCAGAGTGGGCCAGGCCTGAGCTGGGCTCTGAAGTATCTGTGTATATTGAAGTATGTGGAGGAGGGGCAGGAAGTGAAAACATTCCAGAATGAGGGCATGGGGACTTCCCGTCAAAAATGAGGGCACAGAGGCAGGAAGAGTGGGATGTATGCAGAGGACCAGAAGGAGGTTGGCTCAGTGGAGGCTGAGGGGGGATGCTAGGAAACATAGGGAATCATAAGGCAGGGCCCAATGATGGGGGCCCGAGGCCAAGCAAGGGGCTGAGGTCCGATGCTCTGCGCAGTGGTAGCCATGCTGGGTTTCTGAGTTGGAAAGACACGGGATGAAAGTGGTGTTCCAGAGTCATCAGCCCAGCTGGCTGGGCTGACGAGTGCCAGAGGAGGAGTTGGGGGGGGGGGGCGGGTGGCAGCATAGGCACCTAGGAGACTACTGAGTTACCTGGGCATGGGGTCATGGGACTGTCCACCATGGGGGGAAATGAAGATGTTGGGAGAGGCACGTGGAGATAAATACAAAAGGATTGCTACAGCATCATTTATATCAGCAAAAAAAACTGAAAAGGAAGAGCCCCTATGTCCATCAGTAGGAAAATGGATACATAGGTGGCTGTATATTGATACAATGGACCGCACAGTGGGGAGAGTGAGTGGCGTACATCTGCATGCCTGGACATCAACAACTCTCAAAAACAAAGAAAGAGAAAACCAAGGTTTAGAAGGATCTAGGCTGTGCTGTTCCATGTGGTAGCCACTAGCTACATGTGGCTATTTAAACTTTAACTACAATTCAAATGCAGTTCTTCAGTCACATTACCTACATTTCAAGTGCTCAAAAGCCAGGTGCCATCTGTGGCTGCTGTATTGGACGGCACAGACAGAGGACATTTCCAGCATCACAGAGAGTTCTGTTGGACAGCACTGATGTTTTGAAACATGCAAAACAACATTACATATTGTGTATGGATACAGAAGAGGCTCACAGGGTTTCCATGAACAGGTGTTGCCTCCGTTGGCGGTGGAGCTGACAGGAAGGAGGTGTTGAGGGGTGGTCAGGGTGATGGGAACAGGGGAGGCAAGGATGTAGCTCTGAATACAGAAAGGCAGAGGCAGGGGGTCGCTCCACAATCCAGGAAGTGCCAGGCACTGCAGGGGGGATGGGAGACGCTTCTAGGCTCTCTGAGGATCCCAGACATAAGCGCTGTAATGACCGCAAAGACTAGCCTTCAGGTGGGGCCATTCCCAAATTGTCCCCCTCGTGATTCCCAATAAGACTGGGCAGAAGGAGTCTTGGAGAGGGTCAAACCTGCCCAGGTGGTTGGTACATGACAAGCTGCAGACCTCACATCTAGGGCTTGCCTCAAGCAAAGTGAGGGCTGAGGAGAAGGGCAGAGAAGCAGGAGCAGAGAAGTCAGAGGAGGGGCAATACCATGATTCAGGAGAGAGAGAAAAGGAAAGGAGGCGGGGTGGGCGCAGCCGTCTCAGATATGCAGGCATGAGGCCGGGCATGGTGGCTCATGCCTGTAATCCCAGCACTTTGGGAGCCTGAGGTGGGAGGATCACTTGAGCCCAGGAGTTCCAGACCAGCCTGCAAAACCCTGTCTCTTCAAAAAATACAAAAATTAGTTGGGTGTGGCATGCGCCTGTAGTCCCAGCCATCTGGGAGGCTGAGGCAGGAGAATGGCTTGGACCAGGGAGGACAAGGCTGCAGTGCGCTGAGACTGCACCAAAGCACTCTAGCCCAGGTGACAGAGAAAACCCTGTCAAAAGGACAAAAGCAAGAAAGAGAGAAAATGGGAAAGAGAAAAAGAGAGACTGGATAGAAAAAGAGAGTGAGAGAGAGAAAGAGGAGAAAAAGAAGGAAAGAGAAAGGGAGGAAGGGAGAAGGAAGGAAGGAAAGGAAAGAGAAAAAGAAAAAGGAAGGAGGGAGGGAGGGAAAGGAAGGAAGGGAGAAAGGAAGGAAGGGAGGGAAGGAGGGAAGGAGGGAGAGAGGGCAGTGGGGGGGGGAGGGGGGAGGAGTCTG